TTGTAATTTCCCATAGTAACAATTATAAAAGAGTGTAGATGTCCAACCATGTGGTGTACCGACGTCTACATCAAATGGTGCATTTGTAACCATCTCGCGGCGCAACTTCTTATTAGCTCTGATGAAGACTTCCTGAAAGCGAAACTTCGCTAAATCATCAGGATTCCGAGCACCTTTTATTGGTGCTTGCAGAGAAAAAGCTTGCTAGGTCCCATTTGTGTCACTAGTCTTGCAGAAACAGCAGACCTCTCGTTTTATGTCCATAGTTTTGGATAACAGTATTTTTGTCAGCTTTTCATTTCCATACACCATGAGAGCGTACTTGTACCCTGAGGAAGGTTCAAAATCACTTGTTTCACGAGTATATGAAGATATGTAAATGTTCATACTACAAAAATCGGTGTTGGCCCTCAAGCTGAAAAAGGAACTCAGTGGTATCGCGTCCAACTTCTCGAGGTCAGCCATGATAATGCAACCCGTGAAATTTACAATCGCCTGAAATAAACCGGAGCTACGGGTGACAACGAGTGTGTAGGTAATTTTGCCAATAACAAGTGGGCATGGAAAACGAGCGCTCGCTAAAGCCACTGCCAGTACCGGAGATGAAAAACAATACATTCGCATGTGGATTCTGTGGCATCAAAACTAATTCGGCCACTTGAAGGCAGGCTCCTCGCTCGAACCATTCCAGAACTCCTTGTTCCAATGATAGGGTCCATCTCTAAGAAAGTTCCACGTTCGCGGCTCCACAATTAGTAACGAGGATACACCATTGAAAGTCCACGGTGGCTAGTCCTTCAAAGACGAGTATGTTAAGGGATACTTATAGTATAGGTGTAAGTCTGTGGAATAGCAGAGTTCGGTCCTTTCGTGTCTTTTTCACTACTTCGGTTCTAAGCGTTGAAAACGGAGTGGACATAAAAATTTGTCAGCAAAGAGCTACAACAACAGATCAAATGATATTCCAACAACACGCCGATCCTGCAGGGAAGAGTTGGTCGCACTCCCAGCGAGGTCATCCGATGGCAGCACGGGCGACAAGGTGAATAGAAGGAGACTAGGACTCAAGTCGAGACAGGAGGTAGGAAGTGTAGAGAGCTACTTTGGACCCACAGTCACTCCTTCTGTACCCAGCCGCACATCCCCCGAATAACCGACATTAATATAGAGGGATTATCTGCAGGCAAATGTAGGCGGTGCTTAACTACTGCACAGGTGGCGGTACTTAAAATAAGATATGAAGGAGCGCTCCGCGCCAACAGGGTCATTTGAGGTAGATACTTGATGGCACACTCATGATACCGCGAGGTTGCGCCTGCGGTATCGTGCTTAAGGGTGCTTATCCTAGGAGATGCCCTGGGTAAAAAAGTTGGACTACCTTGTCATCACTCATTCTAATATGCTGATTCTATAATACATCCTACTATATATTGGATAAGTATGTCTGTACGTTTGTGTGTGTGTGCGTCCGTCTGTTTGTCACGAACAGTTACAGTGAGACATTGATTCCAACAATTGATGTAGGGGTGTGTAGGGGGACACTATTGGCTGGGTGGCAGGAATCAGTTAATATCAGTTGATAAGATCCGATAAGAGGCGTTAGAAGGGGAAAATCACCATATTTATAACGCGGGTGACAGCATCAGCTAGCTCTTGATTGCTAAGATATATAGGATATGCGCCAAGAACATTAGTGGGTCACAAAACCGGTAGGGTGCTGTTAAGATATAATAAGAGGCGTTAGAAGGAGATCCATAACGCGGGCTGACAGCATCAGCTAGCTCTTGATCCCAAGATATGATATAGGGTATGAGCCAAGGACATTACTGGTGAGTGACAAGAACTGTAAGCTGCTGGTAAGACTCGATAAGGAGCGCTACAACTGTGGGCTGATAAAGGAAATTGCGGTCGTTGTCGCTCAAGCGGGTTCGCGACCAAATCATAGAGATTCAGCGATGAGGACATTTATGACGGGTGACAGGTAATCTTATCACCCATTCTGATGTTGCAACTGCGGTCCTCAGTGATACGGTGCAGCCTTCTCACGGTTGAAAGTCTGTAGTGAGCAAGAGGGACCGGATGTTGGTAGATAAATGGTGGATTCTTGCAGACGCATAAGTCGTAGTGGGGTGAGAATACTTGCTTGTCAAACGGCAGGGATCGAAAGATGTGAATGTTTTCTCAGAAAGACGGGGGGATGGTGTTTGTTATCAGGGTACGTCCGCCGCCGAGAAAAATTTTCAGAAAATACGACCTCCCTTCCCCATCCCGCACTTCTCCCAGTCTCCTACCACATTTTACAAAATTTCGCAATTTCGCAAAAGCTTTCCACTTTTTTCGCCGTGAGCAGGGAGGGGGAAACCACTATTTTTAGCTATCGAAAATAGAGGCTGTTAATCGTTCCGTAAATCCACGACGATCCAGCTGGAAGAGGCTGGTTCCTCTTAAAAGCACATACGAACCCCCTCTCCCAACGACGAAGAAATGCACCCCCCCCCCGCTAAGTATTCCCTAGCTTCAGACGTGATGCAAAATTTTTATCGTAGTCAGCTTCATGGGGTTGGCTGTGTAGTGGATGTGGCAGTGTGTGCAATCAGACTAGTTTTTTATTATTTAGGGGAAAGGAAGGTTCTCAATGTATACAGCTTTTTAGTCTTACATAGAACTTTGGATACTCGAACTCGTCTCCTGTCATATTTCCATAAATGAAATTACATTGTCTGTGTATGGCCCAGAAGAATCTATTTTCTCCACTGAAAAAGCACTCTGAAATGAAATCTTCATCCTGAGTCTTCATCCCAAAGTATCACCTACTATACGTGATTTGCTAATGCCTGTTTGTTTATTTATTTCTCGGTCTAGAAATCTGCTCATGTGTAGAATTGGATAAGATGTCCGGAGCGCACATGACCTGCTAAGCTCCACCACCAGTCGGGGCATACGTCGAAAATGAGCAGTACCGCGGTAAAAAAACTCATAATTCTCTTCCAGAGCAGCCCCGAAGTGGCAGGAAGTGGGTTGAAGTTACATAACTGGACAGAGCGATTGGAAGACAGGCGGAGACTACTCAAGAAGAATGATGCTTTTTATAAGATTAATTCCGCTTTCAAGAGAGTTTGCAGATCGAAAAAACTCGAAGGAGAAGAGGAAGATCTGGCAAGAGTTGAGCATGTCTGTGGTATGCTAGTGGTTGAAGCGTGGTGGCAAACATGAGGTACTTATTTAGAATAACTGCGTTCGTTTTCAGAGCACCTCCGACACCGGAAAAAGGGGATTACAGACAGCAAGGGCTATGAGAAGTGAGAGCCATGCTCACTGTGGCGCAGCATGCGCCAAAGTGGGGAGTGAACTTAAAGCATCTATTAAATTCAGAGCACGCACTCCAGACAACGGGGGAACCGCGGTCCTCAACGTATGACGTGCCCTGCTTATTAGTAATTATAGGATGTGATTCCGGGGGAGTCTTTGGAAGCACTTTCTACGAATTCTCTGATGACCCGGACCTGTTCTGTACACCAACGTGATGCTGTCGCTGATCCCTAAACAATTACAGCCGTCTCCCCTCAAAGCATGCCTCACTAATCTCCAAACTAGGAATCTCACAGTCGAGTAGCGAAATTGATGCAACCTCCGCTGACCGGGTTACCTGTTCTCAACGTTTCAAACTCTAATCACAGTTTTTTGAGTAATGTGGCCAAGACAGTAAAGTTTTCCACCAAACTCGTTTGATACTTGTGTTATTTCTCAGACGTTCTATAATTATCCACCTTTCACGCCGGTTCTCGGTGGTGCTGATATTACTCAGCTGCATAGAAATAGGACCCTTTGCAACACTTCTGCAGCAGTTCCTTGTCTTGTGGAGGGTGGGGTGTCAAAGTAAAGGCATGCTTCGAGGGGAGACGGCTGTAGTTGTTTAGGGATCAGCGACAGCATTACGTTGGTGTACAGAACAGGTTCGGGTCATCAGATATTCGTAGAAAGTGCTTCCAAAGACACCCCTGGAATCACATCCTATAATCACTTATAGGCAAAACCCCTTTGGTTGTTAGATGAACAGGTTCGCCCCAGTCACCTACAATCCCTTGCACTGGAAAGTGCAGGAAGCAGCTTGTGACTCAACTCTGACCTGTTACCTGGCGTCACACATAACACAATGATATCGCCGTCGCTGTCCGTGCGACACTGCGCTCGCTCGCCTACGCGCTGAGCGACTCTTTGCGCCTGCTAACTGCGTGCTCATCCGACGCCGTGCTGAGATGGCATGGCATTTCAGTTCTTCTTCTTCTTCCTCAGCGTTTGTCCCGCTCTTTAGCGGGGTCCGCTTATTTTGTCACGCCACTTCTCCCGATTGAATGCTTGATCGGGATGGGCGCCAACTATCTTTAAGTCCGCATGCAACGTGTCTGACCAGCGCTGCTTGGGGCGTCCTTTAGGCCGCTTTCCGGGAACTTCGAGCTCAAGACCAATCCTACGGACGGTGTCACAACTCGCGCGAAGAACATGACCATACCATCGAAGGCGAGCTTCGCGCATTTTCTCGGCCACAGGAGCTACACCGAATTTCTTCCTTATGTCGTCATTGCGTATGCGATCCATACGCGTGACACCGGCGGTCCATCGCAACATTTTCATCTCCATGACTCCGCTTCAACTTCTCTGGTCGTAGGCCAACATTCAGCACCGTATATCGCGACTGGTCGAACGACGGTCCTATAGATCTTCGATTTGAGGCGATCTGGTATCGTCTTGTCGCAGAGAACGCCAGTCATAGACCGCCACTTAGACCAGGCTGCACTCACACGCGCGCTCACTTCTGAGTAGAGACTACCGTCAGACGTAATTGTTGATCCGAGGTATTTGAACGCTGTCGTTCGCGTGAGCACACTTCCGCTGACCCTAAGGGAACCAGACTCGTCCGGGTCAGTCGTCAGGTACTCGGTTTTCTTGACGTTCAATCTGAGCCCGAAGTTTGCTAACCGTTCAGTCCAAGCTTGCACTTGTTCCTCGAGACCATTCTTATCCTCGCAGGCCAGCATCACATCGTCAGCGTAGAGAAGCGTCCAGGGAGCCGGCTTCTGGAGGTCCCGTGAAATGACGTTCTTGACTGGGAAAGCGCTGAGCCTTGGTGTAACTGTGATGGGGAACGCCATCGAAATGCCTGCTGGACTTCCCACTCGGGACGAGTACAGGATGCGTACCCACTCAATCAGCTCTTCGGGAACGCCGTGCTGCCGTAAGGCATACCATATAACTTCACGTGGGACACGGTCGAATGCCTTCTCCAGATCAAGGAAGGCTAGGTGAACATGCTTCTTCTTCTCACGATGTTTCTCTAGCAAGAGACGAGCGGCATGTATGGCGTCGATGGTGCTACAGCCAGTCACGAAGCCACACTGGTTGGTAGAGAGCTGGACGATATCACGCTTATCAACAATTCGCTCAAAAATTTTCATGCTGTGCGAGAG